GAACAATGAATGAAGCTAGGAACAAGAAGCTACTAGGGGCTCCTGGCATCGCTACTAGGAGCAAGGACGCTACTAGGGGCTCCTGGCATCACTACTAGGAACAAGAAGCTACGAGGAACAATGAATGAAGCAAGAATTGAAAAAATAACAGAATATGAACCACAATAAAAACCCGGAAGAAAACCCTCCATCTAAAATGCCATGAAGACAGGTGAGGCAGAAACTTGAAGAGCCTTACGTCTAAAGAAAGAAAGGGCAAGAAGGAACGACGCATAATGAGAAAAGACAGGGCAAAACGTCCAAGGAAAGACAGAAATGAACAAGGACAATATCAAAAGGTCTCAAGAAGAAAAAGAACGGTCAACAACAAGGCAAACAATGAAAGGTCAAAAGGAAAAGCAGAGAGAATAGACAATCAAGAAAAAAAGGTGCAAAGGTCTTGAGAAAGAAAGGAGAGAAGGAAAGAAAGCACGGTCACAAGGTTGGAAGAAAGGACAAAAAAAGGAACGGTCAGAAGGTTCTGGAAGAAAGGAAAAGAAAAAGAAGAAAGGTCAAAAGGTCGAAATGAAAGAACCATCAATTGGTCTTGAGAAAGAACAGACATATTGATAGAAAAGGTCAAACGAAATGCCTAAGAAAAGACATGCAGTAAACGGTGAAAAAAGGCCAAATGGTCTGACGAAAGAAAGCAACCAAAAGGGGACACTGAAACATGGCAAAAAATCTAAGGACAGAAACAGCAGGTTAAGGGTCTATTGAAGGGAAGAAAGACAGGCAGACAGAAAGAAAGACAGACAGACAGAAAGCAAGCAAGAAAGAAAGAACGGAAGGAAGGAAGGAAGGAAGAAAGGAAGAAAGGAAGAAAGGAAGAAAGGAAGAAGGGAAAGACAGGTCAATACGGACAAAGTCAAGAAACAACGGTTGTTAAAGACAGCTGATCTCTGTGTTTACACTGCTGAATTGAACACACTTCCCTTTTGTGGTTTAGGTCAATGACTTTCCCGTTGTCAAAGCGAGAGACAGAATGAACATTTTTACACACATGACCCAGATGATAGAAGTTGAAGCAATTCTATCATTTGTGCAGTTCTACATCACAGTGTCCTGCAGCATGCAGAATAACATCAAACTGATATGAGCCGCTCCTCAATTTTGGGAACAATTTGTCACAAACGATTCTACCACAAGCAGAACCTTTGTCAGTGGATTTCTTGACCCGGTGAAGCCATTGGCGCTGCTTCAGTTCACCACAAAACCCCAACTACCAAGGCCTTGGGGCAAAAACCCAACCCCCTCGCCAGTAGGTTGGAGGCCATCGCTAGTAGGTTGGAGGCCATTGCTAGTAGAAACAAAGAGGACAAATAGAAAAGATAAGGAAGAAAGGTTTTGTAGTTTGAGTAGAAACAGGCCCTTGCAGTCCCTTCTTTTTCTCTCACAGCTTTTCGATTTGTTGAAACTTCGATGGCAGCGTAACCCTCTCCGCACTAGGGGCGTGTGCCACCGACCTTGCGAGACAAGCGAGTCCTATCCCTTGACTTGGCGCTGCTTTTGGCCGGCACAAGGTGCGAACAACTTGGATTGTTCTGAGAAGAAGTCATTGCTGCGAACATGAGTGGTCAAGAGAGGACGGTTGGAAAGAAAACAGAAAACATGGAAAGCAAACATTAGTTTCTTGTGTTGAATGTTCTAAGAAGGTCATGATGGAGAGACCAGTGGAGCTTCACTTCACAATCCGGAACGAAACTGTCCTTTGAACACGCGAACGACTTCTTCTGGCCAGCGAACCTGCGGTTTGAGACAGCGCATTATTTTTACGTCCGATGGCCTCCAAGTAAGACGTTTGGCAGGTATCGGGGAGACTTCGAAGAGCGTTTGCGAGCAGTGGCCGGTGCCTCTTATCCACGAAGCGTGAGATAGACTATTCAAGCTTTATCGATCAAAGCACATCTCATTGCACCGGCCTTCGTGGCTGCAAGTTTGTCCAGAAGACTTTAGGCGACATGCATTTGGCCTTCGTCGATGAAGGGTAAACCGATATTTGTGGATAACGTGTTCGTGTGTTGTGGGTTGGCCACAAATGAGAAAAGACAAACCAAGGCCAACCGCGCGGGAAAGACACCTCGTTGATGGAGCATCCTTTCTGAGGTCAAGGAAGTGTCGGAGAGCAACCGACGGGTGATTCTGGTCATTGACGAGGCATGTGAGGTATCTTTATATTTCACAAATTCATTTCTTTATAGATTTTCTGAACATGAACTGTTTTCATGCTGCCTTTGAAACGATCCAAGAAATGCATTTTCATAAATGCAACGAATTCGGACAGGTGCACACACTGGTGGGTGCTGGAAGCAGCGGAGGTGATTGTGCAAGTTCTGCTTGGGAGAACTCACGAGACATAAAAACAAAATCAATATTTAAAGAACATTGTCACATTGTTTTCAATTTTTAAAAGCATTACGTAACAAGAAGCTATTAGTAACAAGTGCCACGCTAGTAGTAACAAGTGCCTTACTAGTAGTAACAAGGAAGCTATTAGTAACAATTCTTCAAGTAGTCGACTTAATGATTGGGTCAGCCTTCAAGGAAGCTCCCCACTGGGTGGGAGCTTCCTTGAAGAAGCCCTCCCACTATTCATTTGGTTCCTAGTAGGTTGGAGGCCATCGCTACTAGTTAAGCTTCCCTAAAAATCTAGGAACCAAATGAGTAGTGCGTCCATGCTAGTAGTAGCTTACTTGTAGCCAATAGCTACCTCCAGCTACTACCTCCCTAGCTACCTACCTAGCTAACCTACCTCTACGGCCTACCCCGCTAAAGAAAGAAGAACTTAACTTTGCAAACTGTGCACTTTGTGGGTCCAGGTGAAGGGGGTGGCATGGATGCAGCAAACCTTCTGAAGCCAGCTCTTGCAAGGCCAGGCGCCATTTTGCGCAACAGGAATAAAGTTACTAAAGTGACTCAAAGGACAATTTTACTAAAGTTGTTTCTTGAATTTCTGAAAAGAGTGCATACAGTTTCAAGAAGGCTTCATTGAATGCCATACATGGCCCCTACTGCCCGGCAAAGAAGCTTCCAAGGGTTCAAAGGAGTCCTTGGCTGTGACGCATTTGAGGAAGTCTTGTGACACAGGATCCAGTAGGCGTCAGCTCTGGCCCTGTTATCGAAAGGGTCCCTAACTTGCAACACTAGCTGCAAATTTCCGAAGATTTTGATTTAGGATTCAGCAGGATAAGGAGAATTTGCTTAAGTTTCAGCGCTTCTGAAGCGTGAGCTATCCTGCGTCCAGTTACTAGCAGGTAGGAGCAGGCTTGAAAAAAAACAGAAACACTGCGTAAATTATCAGGACTTCTGCGTAATGGTAGGGGCGAACCTTGCCGATTCCGGAGAAAGCACAACTCTTCGGCCACTTTTCGGCCGATTCCAGGGGTCAGCTGCAGTGCATTGGTGCTACCACTTTGGACGAGTACCGGCAGTACATTGAGAAGGACTGTTTTTTTGGCAAATGTTTTGATAAAACACCTCCTTTGACTAGGCATGGCTGACGTCTGACACGTTCTTTGTCAAGCAGTTTGACCTGGGATCTCTGTTCTGCCTTAGTGCCGGCTGTTTGTCTGTCTGTCTGTCTGTCTACTCTTCTTTCACCCAATGTGGGCATGACCAATTTTCCGTGTTCACCTCTTTTGTGTGACGGCCTCCAACCTAAGAGCGATGGCCTTCACCCTACTAGCGACGGCCTCCTTCCATTTCCTTTCACCGTTCCCAAGGGGCCTCACCTCTGCTACTTGCTTCTCTTGGGGCCTGTTGCGGAAAATGGCCTCCAGTCTCAAACTTGAGCTTCTCTCATCATGGTGGATTGTGGCGGTCACGGTCTGGGTGTCTTGACGCTTATGTCCCAGCTCAAAGGAGAGAGACAGAGAGAGGCGTGAAGTGAATGATGTGAATGTGTTTTTGTGTCTCACACATGTACCTATGACGGCCATCTACAGGCCTTGGAGTTCTAGAGAACCCCAACTGCAAAGACACAAATAAAGAGAAAGGAGAAGAGGGAGGCAAGCTCCAGCTACCACTCCACACCTACAGACAGTACAACGGCGGCAGAGACATGAGCAGAAAGGCAGCCCGATTGGAGCTTCAAGGTTCGATGGTTGTGCAGCACTGCACTCTCAAGGCCATTCTGACGACAAGAGCTGGACACATCACTGACAGCGAGATACGAAACATTGAGTATCACCGAGCAAATACAAAAAGAGCGCCAGAGCACTACAGATGGCACCAGAAAGCAGCCACCTACGGAGCGCAAACATTCAACAGAAACTCCTAAGCAGGGAAGAAGGTGAAAAGGAAAAAGGAAAGAAAAAGAAGAAAAGGCAAAAGGCAAAAGGCAAGGTGAAGGAAAGAGCGACAGAAGCTAGGGCTCCACGGCCGTGAAGTAGTCACTTCGGAAGAACGGATCTGACATAGAAGAACAGTGTTTTTCACTTGAGAAAGAGAATATCTGACATATGTTTTGTGGAAACAGAATGAAAAACACGTTTCCAGTGTTTGTTTAGCGCCCGCAGGCATTGTATTTTGTGGCAACGTGTTTGTTTTGTTTGGCCATTTCCTTGAGACAGGTTCCGGTCACAGCAGGCGCTCGTTCTCGTCAGCGCGCACGAGCAAGTTCATGAGGTCAAACCTCAACTCTTTATATTTCGACACGAACTCGAAACAAGAAAAACAGATGAAACATGATGAAACTATAGGAACAAGAACGCTACTAGGGGCTCCTGGCATCGCTACTAGTAACAAGAAGCCATTGGCTTATTTTTCTACTAGCTTCTTGTTACTACTAGTAAGGCACTTGTTACTACTAGCGATGCACTTGTTACTACTAGGAAACAATAAATAGGTTGGTACGATGCTGTGCGCAAACTCCACAAGGCGAACCGTGTGAAGATACAGGTTTACGGGGAGACAGGGAACGTACGCGTACCCGGAGCGCCCCGTCGAGCACTGAGAACAATACAACAGCGTGTGCCACCATGCTACTAAGAGAGAGAGAGAGAGAGAGCCTAATAGCGGTCATCCACCCTGAGAGCAATGGCCTCCGAGAGAGAGACTGAGATAGGGTGCAGGGAAGGGGAATGTAGTTGTTGACACCTGTGTTTGTGACAGTGAAGCGTGCAGTACGTACCTGATCTTCTAGGACCCCGCATTGGAGCGGCGCTTCCAACCCGTGCTCGTACCAGAACCCACAGAGGAGGAGACCGAGAAGATCTTGCTGGGCTTGGCGCCGAGGTGTGGTTCTTTTTCTTTCGTCACTACAGCCAAAGAAAATAACGATCTTTGTTTTTTTGTATGTCGTAATGGTGTCATTGCAGGTTGTAACATAAGAAAACGCTCGGTTCGGTCTCCAACCTAATAGCGATGGCCTTCAGCCTAAAAGCGATGGCCTCCAACCTACTAGCGGCTAGCGATGGCCTCCACCCTGAGAGCGATGGCCTCCAACCGAGTAGCGATGGCCTCCAACCTATTACTGTAACAGTTTGTTGAAAGACCCTTGCACTGGGCCGCAATTTCGCGCAACTGTACCCTGTCACGCTCGAGCCACATGCAACATTGAGAGAGGAATTGAAAGAACCAAAGATTCTGAACAATCATGAATCGTCTTGAATTGATTGGAAGTGTATTTTCTACGTTGCGACGTAATACCCGATCAAGCTACGTTGTTGCTCCGCGTCGAAGTGGGAGCCGAGCAATCTATATGTGAAGCATCATGTACAAGATTGATATGTATTGTCACAGAGAAAGCTGGGACATTTCCTATGTATGACAGCTGTTTTTGGGACAAGCTGAAAAAAGAAAAGGCTGAAACAAAACGGAGGCAGTAAAAGACCCGAGTCGAGCCGGTCGAGGTACGAAAAGCATCACCAGCTCCGATATGACCCAGAGGCGATCAAGGCAGCCGTGCGACTGGCTTCGCAGCTCCCAAGCTGCAGGGAAGATTGCAGTGCAAGAACGATCTTTTTTGGGCTAGTTTTCTCCACGTTCCTCACCTCTTGAACTCATCGTTTCTCCTCGATGATCAAAACTATAAGCTTTGTCAGCAAACCCTACTGCAAGTACTTCAAACAAAATCTCCATTACACCAAGGGTTGAAACATTATCTTTGCTTCGCGTGCACCAAGAGGAGTAAGAGGGGCCGCACTCTCATGGAGCATCACCACACCACGCTGCGTGCAGCTTGGGAAGGACTCAGCGCATTAAACAAATCACGGATTTGCACAAACATCACACTGGCATAGAGGAGCTGTGTTGACACTCAGAAGAGAATGCTCAAGCCACTACCAAAGCTTGAGTTCGCTGCCAACACCCCAACACAGTAATTGCTGTGTGCGAGAGAATGCACGTCCTTGAGCCAAGCCATTGAGAAGGAGCCTCGGCAGGGACACTAAGATCCACGCAGAAAAGCACCCACCCACGCCCACCCATGCCCACCCACGACCCACGCTCACCCACGCCCACCTGCCCACCTGCCCGCCCGCCCACGCACGCACGATTGGTGTACGGACTACGTGATTGTCCATGCCTTGAAGATGCCTCAGTAACCTCCTGAATGGACATGCAAGGAGGGCAAAGTTTCAGCATCAAAGCTGCATGCTTCGTAATCTTCTTGAAAAAACTCAAATTCTCACAGTCCAAAGTCCGAAGTGTCACAATGTCAGAATGCACATTTGCCGACATGAAGAACCCGCGCGAGGCCTGACAATATTGTTAGCCATAAGGGACCAAAAGCTTGAGATCTTCCAGCTGTCAGACCCAGCGATCAACGCAGGTGCGTCTCTACGACGGCATAATGGGTCTTGCGTTGTCCTGCAAGAAATCCCGCGTACGGAAGGACAAAGCTGAAGCTTGCAAGTAGAGTTCTTCTTGTCGGAAGGTGGCAACCCAAACATCCTGATGCGCGCCAGCAGGAGACCCTAGTAGTAACAAGTGCCACGCTAGTAGTAACAAGTGCCTTACTAGTAGTAACAAGAAGCTAGTAGAAACAATAACTCGACAGGGATTCCGATCGTGAACGGGGACAACCCAATTTTCCCGGTGCTGTTTGGCCGATACCCCTCGATGTAGTACGCGGCAAGTGGTACTTGTAGTTACCAAGCCCTAAGGCCTTTGAGAAGCCAAAAAGAGAGGAAGAAAGATCAAAACAAACGATCAACAAGAAGAAGGGAAAGAAATGAGGAACATTTCAAAGGAACACCAGCCAATCCAAACCGATGGAAACAATGGTATATATATATAGGTTCCGCGCGCCTGGTGGGAAAGATGGGTCGGAGGTTTTGTTTCATAGCATTTTGCTTAAACTGGTCATTTTATGGTCGCCATGACAGCGCAGAACGACCAAAGTTACAAACTGGTGGAGGAGGAGGAGGGGCGGGATAGCCTTTGCATGCCTTTGCCTACCAGCTACAGACACATTATATACATACATATCTGTATATATTGTATGTGTAACATTGTTTCACATTGAATATAGATAGATAGATAGATAGCCGCATCAGATAGATAGATAGATAGCCGCATCAGATAGATAGATAGATAGCCGCATCAGGCTGCACTGGATTGTGACTCACCAGGATGAGCCACGCAGAACAGACCAAGTTCAACGAATGTGATCCAAGGGGCACCTCACCTCTTCTCATCTCCAACGGCTGATTAGTCCGGAAAGCAGATATCATTGAACTGTTGAGATGTTCGGCGATAGTCAGCTCGAACAGTGGACACGCTAGCTCAAAACCCATTACAACCATTATAAATACCACGCAAAACTTCAAAAGTTGCTCTGAAACCTAGGCGAAACGCATGTTTTGTAACCGTTTTGCGCCCAGTCTCCATGTGCAATGTCAATAGCAATAAACAGCTCTATGTTCGCTTGCCCACTATCAATGTGTAATGCAATGACAAGAATTATTTGCTTGACTCTTCTTTGTCCAATATCTGTAACTGCTTGGTCATGTGACTGTGTATTCATTTGTTCTCAACATCGGTCACAGCTGTTGGGATTTGAGTTTCGAAAGGCTGTAGCCTCTCATCACCACGTGACCACGTGCTCATTTTGAGTGATTGATTTTAGCGCTTGCGCTCAGGTACATTAATGACCGCTTCTTGCCGGACAAAGCCATCGATGTCATGGATGAGGCTGGTGAACATGACGCACAGGACAATCAGATCTCGGGGAATGTTGGAAAACTCAAAATCCATTTAGGTACTTTATTACACTTATCCGCTCACGTGTTTCAGCAAACAAAAGGCTGGCGCCAAAGTTCGCCAGCAACTCTTCCAAGAAGAAGAGCTGGCCGAGGAGGGGATTCTGGCAAGAATGCACCACTCTACGATTTGTTTTGATAGTGAGATTGGTGTTGTTTTACTTACTTTCTTGTCTATTTTGGAACTTCAATGTGTTTGTTCATTTTTTCAATGTTCTTTCTTAACTTAGACATGTTTGAAGCCAGAGAACTGATGAGTGCAGAAGAAAGGACATGGCCTGCCGACGGAAGCTTGAAGAAGACCTGCAGGCAGTGATAAAGCAAAAGGGTGTGGCCGTGGCCAACGAGGACTTTTCAGAGGCGAAGAAGTCCGGGTGGGATGGACCCACACAGAGAGTGCTTTGATCTAAGAGTGATGTACTATGATCTTGCTTTGATCAAGTTCAAAAAATATTTACGGCCTTTTACACTCTGTACATGTAATTTTGTTCCCCTTTGCCTTCTGTTCTCTTTCTGACTCTTTCTTCCTTTTTGCCAGGCACAAAACCTCAAGTCGAGGCAAGAGGAGATCGAAAGTCGCCTCCGCGGCCTTAATGAAAAGATGGAAACCGCACCAACTGCAGGAGAAGAAAGGCTTCAGTGTTTTTGACTTGCAGATTAACAACTTCTCTTTCATTTTTTTATGATTGCTTGTGTGTTTGTTTCTGAGGAGAACGCGACAATGTGGAAGAAAAGTTGCGACTGCTTCGAGCACGTGTCCAGGAAGCTGTCCGTGCGGAGCGCTTTGAGGAAGCCTCTGATCTCAAGGCAAAGGAACGTGAAGTACTCGGACGTTCAGACGAGGAGAGGTTCTCGGTTTGCATGATATCCTCCTACTGAAAGCAAAGAGAGTGAATAAAGCAAGCAAAGACACAGATGTGCATGATATGTAGATAATATGATATATGTAGTATGATCATGCATGGCAATGTACATGATACACATATAGATTAATGTCTAGGTAGGTCCTGTACTAGATAGGGCACACAGCATTCTCTGTATAAGGGGAGTAACGTCCAAAACCTCACAGTCTAGAGAAACGAAAAAAATGGAACAGAAGCAAGGAGAGAAGAAGAACAAGGAAAAGAACAAGAACGCAAACAGCATAGAAAAGCATTATCAATTCTATTTGAAAGGGGTAATGATGTCCAACACCTAGTAATTTAGCCTGCGTTCTTAATCTTGCAGCCTTTGCAGCCACATTTGTCACAGGCCCTCACCCTCGTTAGTCTATCCTCTTTTTGCTGAGCATTCATATTCATTTCCGTCAATTTGTCGAGTTCGCAGGAGGTTTGGGTGACAGAGGCAGATGTAGCCTCTGTCGTGTCTACCTGGACTGGCATTGCAGTGGAACAGGTCTCTGCCAGTGAGTCTGCGCGGTTGCTGCGGCTGGAGCAGCATCACGGCCAGAAAATGCCTAAAGTCGGAACGTAGCAGTGTTGAGTTTGCATCTTAGGGTGGAGCTGCTTAAAAAGGATGAATGTTTCTAGGAGCAAAGACGCTACTAGGGGCTCCTTGAATGGAATCGAGGCAGCTGGCCAAGAGTGTGGTGGGCCAGGCGGAAGCCGTGACCACAGTGAGCCGTGCATTGCGGCGTGCCCGGGCTGGGCTACGGAACCTGTCCCGTCCGATGGCGGCTTTCATGTGGCTTGGAAGAGAGCGATGGCCTCCAACCTAGTAGCTTCTTTGCTACTGGTAGTAATCATGTGAAGTAATGCCCTAGCTACTAGTAGCGATCCCCTTGTTACTAGCGATGGCCTCCAACATGTTCGGCAACTAGAACTCGTTTCTCAAAAGAGCCCGAAGGCCACAAAATAGGATGATACCAGTGGCCTGCAGAAGCTGAAGAAATGAAGCTAGAACTTGCTGCACATGACCAGCCAACAAGATATGGATTCCAATCCCGAAAAGACTGTCAAGTTGAGTTTCTCCAACCATCGAACTAAATGAATGGTGCGAGGGCTTTTATCCCAGCTACTAGGTAGCTTCTTAAGCTTACTTGTAACTGTAAGCCTCCTTATCTGTAAGCCTCCTTATCTGTAAGCCTCCTCTTACGGCCAAAGGGAAAAACCGTTTGAGTCGTTGTGATGAACCGAGGTTCTGCGGTCCAACCGGCGTTGGGAAGACCGAACTTTGCAAGACTCTAGCCAACAACTTCTTCGGCTCAACGGACGCCATGTCACAGACTCAGATGAGTTACTGTCTTCTTCTAGCTGTCTAGCTTCTTGTTACTGATAGCGGCCTCCAACCTAATAGCGGTTGCCGCCACCCTAGTAGAAAAAAGGAATACCAAAGTAGCCCTCTCTAAGGGGGGCTTAGCTTCCTTTCATCAATATCTTTTTTCTTGTGACGAACATCAAGGAGGTCAAACTGAGGGTTTAACATAGAGAGAGAGTGAGAAAGGAATGCAACATGAATTAAATTAAGCGAAATCAAAGAAGGCAACAAAGAACGAAATAAAAAACGTACGTCGTACCAAGTCGTAAGCTCCTTGTTGTTCTTTGCTCTCTAGGATCCGCTTGGATATGAGCGAATTCATGGAGAAGCACACTGTGTCGAAGCTTATTGGAGCTCCTCCAGGGTGCCCTTGGACGAAGTCTTTTTCATTTCTTTTCTTGTTGGTCCTTCAAACCAAACCGTTTCTAATAGCTACGAGTAACAAGTGCATCGCTACTAGTAACAAGTGCATCGCTACTAGTAACAAGTGCCTTACTAGTAGTAACAAGAAGCTAATAGCTACTTCGTCCTTCTTTGTCCTTTTGTCCTTTCTCGTCCTTTCTCTTTCTTTCTTATTCTAATTCTTGTTTCTACTAGCTTCTTGTTACTAGAAGCTTCTTGTTACTACTAGTAAGGCACTTGTTACTAGTAGCGATGCACTTGTTACTAGTAGCTCCTTTCTGTCTGTTATTTTTGTCCTTCTTTGTCCTTCATCCGACTTCGTATTGTCTTTGTCCTTGCCATGAAACAAACACAGACACCCTTTGGGCCAAAACTGGTGTATAACACGGCCATACAACGTCCCGCCAATCCAATGTTTTTCTGCTTTCACGAGCAAACACAGACAAGATGTTAGCACAAAAGTGTATGTATATATTTTATCATGAATGCAAAGGTCATGAATCTCAGTTGCGCAGATTCAAGTTTCTCACTCACTTCAAGAGTGTTTTACACCGAACGGCCAAAGGTATGTGGGTTATGGCGAGGGTGGCACTTTGACTGAAGCTGTGCGACGCAGACCTTACTCATTGGTCTTATTCGACGAAGTCGAGAAGGCTGTGATTTGTGTCTCAACTGTTTGCAGTGCTCAGTGCCACAGAGTTGAAGGCGATATCTGTTATGAGCTTACAGCAGTGCTTTTCCCACCCACTCACCCACCCACACAGGAACAAGAAGCTACTAGGGGCTCCTGGCATCGCTACTAGGAGCAAGGACGCTACTAGGGGCTCCTGGCCTTACTACCAGTAACAAGAAGCTACTAGGAGCAAGAAGCTACGTAGCGACGACTAAGGCCTCCGAAAAAATCCGAAAAACATTCTTGTAGGTTGGAGGCTATCGCTAGTGGGTTGGAGGCCATCGCTAGTAGAACTTGGAATCAGATTGGAAGTTGACTGTTTGACGTTTTTTGTTTAATTCTTTTCTATTTTTGGCGAAGCTTGTAGGCGCATCCAGATGTCTTCAACACATTGCTGCAGCTGCTGGACGATGGACGTCTGACAGATTCCAAAGGGCGTGTCGTGTGATTCCCTCAGTGAAAAGATGAGACAAACTGTGGGTTGTTTATGTGGCGTTGAAAAATATAACAATGAAAAGAGAGCATTTCTAGACCGCTGTACGAGAACAAAGGTTCACTTGATGACTTTGCAGAATGATGGTGTGTTCGTCATGGGGGAATTCCGACTTTCGAACAGTGGTCCATTCACTTAGGCGCACATCCTTGCATTGTGATGAATTGGCACCACGTTTGATGTAGTCTGGAGGCCATCGCTAGTAGGTTGGAGGCCATCGCTAATAGGGTACCACATTTGATGTATTTGAATTAATCCATAACACTCGATCATTCATAGCCAGTCCGCCAATCAGTTGATGGAGCACCAATCGGGAGTCCCTTGCAACATTTTGTTGTGTCCTGAAAAAAATAGTGGCTTTATTGCTTCTTGTTACTAGTAGCGTCCTTATTACTACTAGTAAGGCACTTGTTACTAGAAGCGATGCACTTGTTACTATTAGCTTCTTGTTACTACTAGTAAGGCCAGGAGCCCCTAGTAGCCTCCGATCGCTCCTAGTAGCGATGCCCAAAATGCTCCGTTTGTAGCGTTCGGTGTTCGGCCTTTGGGAGAAACTCGATTTCCACCCTCCACTCACCCCGCCCTACGCTCGTCAAAGTCGCCCTCAATTGAACTTGCTCTGTTGCATCCACATCACAGCCAGTCTCCAAATGCACTGTGGCTCATCAGGATGCTTGAGCATGGAAAACTGGTGGCCAGAAAAAGGCCCTCACAGCAAAACCAAGCACGATAGCCGACCCAAACTTGCTTGACATTAGCCGAGTCTGGTGAAGAACCTCTAGTAGCTTCTTGCTCCTAGTAGTATGGCCAGGAGCTCCTAGTAGCGTCCTTGCTACTAGTAAGCTCTCCCCACAAGTCGGAGTCTGATCGCCCAGATCGCTCTGAGTCCGCATCTCGACTGACATTTCTTCATCTCGACTGACGTTATGGAAAAAATAAGAACGTTTTATCAAAAATCAAAGACGTTTTATTGGAAGTAAGAACAACAGAAGAACTGATGAAGAAGCTGTGTCTCTCAAAAGGCTCAGTCCTCAAGGAAGCTTCGAAGAAACCTGAGACCTGCGTCTGATTGGTAATAGCTTAAGCTTAGCACCTTCCTACTGTTTACTGCGAGCTACTTCTTATCCCCATGGCTACCGCCCCCGGGGCTTAAAAGAAGCTTCTTTTGCTGCTTTCAGTGGCCATTCATCTCCCTTGGGCAAATCCCTAGTGTGGTCCTTGAAAGACATGCATCTGGTGCATTCCTCCTTGAGCCTATCAGCTTTGCTCAAAGGCTGGGTCGTCAACATGGGTGTCAAAGGCGACCAGTGCTTCCTGTAAGTCCTGGCTGAGCATTTGCAGATCTCCAGGGTGGAGGCCATCGCTAGTAGGTTGGAGGCGATCGCTAGCATTTGCAGATCGCTGTTTAGGTCTGAACTTAGCTACCTGCGCAACAAATCATAAGACCCCTATAAGGCAATGCACAAGACTGCATGTGTTACAGCACAAGCACAAGCACGGCTAAGTTTCTCTTGAATAGAACGAAAACAACCCTCCCTCCAGGGGAGCTACCTACTTGTTAGCTATTTAGGTTACCAACCTAGTTTCTACTTACCTCCCTTTGGCCTCTACTAGTTGGCCCGCTGTGAAAAAGGTTTTCTGAGCTTGGCCTCTTTAAATGCCAGTCTTGGGTGTTTGTCTTGAGCCCTTTACTCTTGGCCGTTTCACTGGAATTCCGGCGTTTCCATCCACTTTCTATTCGGCTTGGATGGACTTACAATAACTGCCGGCTACCCAACACCAGTAGCTACCAGCTGCAGGCTACTAATAGCGATGGCCTCCAAGCTACTAGCGATCCAAATAACCCTCCAAATAAGCTACTAATAGCTTCTCTTTCCATAGCTTCTTGATACTAGTAGTAAGGCCAGGAGCCCCTAGTAACGTCTTTGCTCCTAGTAGCGATGCACTTGATACTAGTAGCGTTCTCAGTAGCTTCACCTTTCTCAATGCACCGAGGTCTTTCAGCAACACCTTGGTCGTCATGACCTCCAACATTGGGCAGCTCGGAAGTTCGAATTCACCTGACACAGTGATCGATTTTGTTTGGGTGGTCGGTAGGCCATGAGGAGGTAGCTAAGGTAGTAGCTCAGAAAGTAGCTCAAGGAGGTCAGAAGCTAGTAGCTAACAAGTAGCTTAAGTAGCTAGCAGTTCAGCTTCTGCTCTTCTCTCTGCTCAGCTTCCTTGAAGAATCCCGCAAGTCACGCGAAAAGCGGTTGCAAAATCGGAAACTGAGGAAATCCAGAGGAAACGACGAAGAAAAGACCCCTTCAGCCATTTCTTTGCGTAAGGAGTCGAAGTGTCCAGAAAGGAGCTGGCAGGGGACCAAGCAACGTCTGGATATGCATCTCTCTTTCGAAAGCAAGTTCTCTGAGCTTCGGTGCACAGCTGTTTGCATGTTGGTTACATTTTTTCAATACATGTATCTTTAGTAGTATCGCTGGTTTCTCTTTGCTGCATCCTGGTGAGAAGCTGGGAGGTGGTGGTCTTGGCCTCGGATTTGGCACTGAAGACGACAGTGCGGAACGAAGCTATACTGTATCTTGGCTGAATGACCAGGAAATGGTGAGACTTGACTTGAGAATGTGCGGTACAATTGTTTACTGTAAAGTTTACAATGACATGTTTTGTCCTTTTCATTTATTGTTTTTTGGCTATGAAATTCTTTATTTTGCAATCCTGGCTGTGGATAAGAGGCCATCCGTGAAGCTGTCCATGAGGCCGGGAGAAAACAAAGAGAAAGAGAGAGAAACGAAATGAGGACAGGAAGAGAGACAAGAACATAACAAACAGTTTAAAGAAAAACGAAACAATGAAAAAGACAAAACACGAAGAAAGGAGGAAAGGAGAAGAAACGAACGAAGAGGGAGGGAGAGAGAGAGAGAGAAGAAATAAAGTCCGAAGGCTTCTTCAAAAGCAACACCATGAAAAGTCATAAATGACAGAAGACAAGAGAAACAGAATGGACGACTCTTGGTGTTTTGACGCGTTTGTAAAAGACAACAGATCCTATTGGACATTGCCAATATTGGTGATAAGGTCCTAGTAGTTTATTTGTTTTCCCTCAAAATATATGCTATGATATATTGCAGCCTGTACAAGTGGTGCTGCCGACCGAATTGCCCTTGTATCCCTCCTTTCTTTCTTGTCTCCCCTTATGTTTTCTCCGTTGATCATCGTTTTTGTTGCATCCTGATTTTCGGTTCAGCGGGCAAGTGAAAACGGCAGGAGATGAAGAGCTTCTTCCGCCCTGAATTTCTCAACCGCTGAGCACCTAGAAAAAGCATCATACAAAGCGCTACGTGAATTTAACAGGTTGGAGGCCATTGCTATTAGTAACAAGAAGCTACTAGGGGCTCCTGGCATCGCTACTAGTAGCAAGGACGCTACTAGGGGCTCCTGGCCGTACTACTAGGAGCAAGAAGCAATTAGGTTGGAGGCCATTGCTACATAGAGGACGTAAAGACATCGTCCGAGGTTTGGATGAGATTTGTGTTTTCCGACCCCTCACGAAGGACCTGTTTTCTTTCTTTTCTTTAGACTTCTTTAGACCAGACAAGTCTTTCCCCTTCCTTTCTCTTCATTTGGAGGTAAATCTCGTCATTTTTCGGAAGATTTCACCATTCTTTGGCACTTTTCGTGAGGACAACATTCGGGAGATCGCAGAGGCGTGATTTGGCACACTTGGCAAGAGTGTCAATCGGAAGCGCACTCGGTATTTGTTTTTAGGTTGGAGGCCATCGCTACCAAGAACGCTACTAGGTTCCTTTTTGCTATTAGGTTGGAAGCTTTCATTCGTTGTCAACTGTTGAGAGGTGGAGTTCAACAAGGTGGCCGAGCGTTTGCTGCAGGCAGTTAGATTCAGCGGAAGGAACGATTCGAGAAAAGTTTGAGTCTCTCTCTTTCTCACTTTCTCTCTCATGCGCTCCTTGATGATTCCACCTTACAAGTTGCGACAGGACCAAACTTACACGAAAAGAATAGAAAAGAAAGTAGATTCTTGTTACTAGTAGCTACTTGCTCCTAGTAGTACGGCCAAGAGCCCCTAGTAGCGTCCTTGCTCCTAGTAGCGATGCCAGGAACCCCTAGTAGCTTCTTTCTTTCTTTCTTTCTTTCTTTCTTTCTCTCTCTCTCTCTCTTTTTGTCTCTTTAACTTTTTCTGGTCTTTCTCTTTTGAGTGGTGTGAGGCTGGGATGCATGTCTCTTTGACAGCTCGGTTCAAGGCAAGGAACTGCAGGCTTTTGAGATGGACCCGTTTAGAAAAGCACTATCTCATAGACAATATAGAGCAGATATATGTAAACATAGCTTCAATGATTTTGCTTCAAATAAGCTGCGTCTTGGGACCCTTGACTCCCCATAAACTTGATCTTGCTTTACCAGTCTATATAAATCATTCAAACGCATTTGCTACGCGACCAGAGGGACCCGATTTTGTTGCCTTCAACAACTTGAACACTCAGTGCAATCGTCTTAGGCTTGGTGTAGGTGCAAGGAGCTAGTCACATTTTTTGGAGGTGAGATCTCTTGCAAAAGCGCACACATCACGCCCTGCCAAGGCATTTCGCACCACAAGCACCTCCAAAGACCGCCATTGGCACAGCGGGAACCTTCACCCAGCGTGGCAACCTCACAATTTACTGCGCCTGACATGAACATTGACTTACTTGCAACTTGCAACATACAACGAGTACTATGCCTGCCACACAAAGTGACTGTGCCACACCTTTGTGTCTATAGCAACTAGTGCACCACACCACACGTCTGGAATGATGCGACACTTTCCTGCCTCACTCACATCATCCTAAATCTCGATTTCAGTTAAGACGTCTCATGAAAAACAGCTTTGAAGCGAACCCTGCAAGAGTAAATCTCATGACACAGCCTAAATTCAACACCTCCCAAATAAGACGCGCCGGGAAACACAAATTTGATTGGCACAACGGCATCACGTGTCCTCACGAAGCGCTGCGCCGATGCGCCGCTGCGCCGCTGCGCCACTGCTCCTGCGCAGAAGAGTCACTGACAGTCACTTTTTTCCACTCTATTTTCACTTCGACTACTTTGTCCAAGACCCAAAAGCTTCTCCGGGGCATAGAGGCCAACGGCTGTAACGGCCAATGAACGCTCGTCGATGTTTGACCAACGCAATGCAAGCACAAGAAGCTACTAGGGGCTCCTGGCATCGCTACTAGGAACAAGTGCCTTACTAGTAGTAACAAGAAGCTAGTAGAAACAATAAGAAGCTATAGACTTTAATTAGAATTAGTAGCAAAGGACGCTACTAGGGGCTCCTGGCCTTACTACTGGGGCTTCCAACCAAGACTTGAGCCAAGCCATAGGCTGGAACTCCTTCAGAGTCTTAGCATGCCTTTCTGATCGATCACAGAGCATAAAGGAAACAACATCCTCATAACAGTTTGTTTCGCGACTTTCTTCTTTTCAGCCATGATTTACACACACAGATTCAGATGGATTTCATTACCTTCCCCATGGCACCATTCTAGCATATTCATTCGAGACAGCTTTGGTATACTCTCGGGGGCTTGCTATTCTGTTTCAACACTCCAAGTCATTTCATTCAACTTGAAACACTTACGTATGACTTGTCCGTTTCAGGAGCGTGTGGTACAGGAGGGTTTCGACCCAGCCTATGGCGCGCGGCCTTTGCGCAGAGTGTCTCAGCGTAAACAGCTCGTAAACTTCTCATGAGCGGTGCAGACAGGGCATGGCCGGGCAGGGTGGCTCTCTTTCACAGTGCTAGGGTTGTTTAGAAGGTGTCAAAGAAACAGCAAAGCTCTAAAGAATCAGAAAAGGAAAACCACCACTATATAAAGAGCATTCTTCCAGTTGTTAGGGGTACTTCACAACAACATGTTTAACGCCGCGCGACTTGGCAGAACATTTTGCGCATCAGGCTATCACTAGATGGCTCGAGGACGGGTTGAGCATAGATATGATAACCTTTGTTTGTATGCAAATTATTGGCTAGTAGGTTGGAGGCCACTATTAGGATTCCCTCGCTAGTTAAGCTTTCGATTGTTTCGCAATGCTTTGCATTTGTTCGTTTCCTGGTGTCTTTTTGTCACAGACCTTCACCTTCGACAGAACCTTGGAAAGCACAATGACCACAGGATTCCCTTGCTGAGCACTTGCTGGATTTCACAGCCGGATTGACTGATGCTGAAGCATCAAAAGTTACTTGGCATTTTTGGCCTTGCAGAAATTCAAGACGAACATTTTTAAACTAGTAACAAGGGCATCGCTACTGTAGCAAGGGCATCACTACTAGTAACTAGTAGCAAGGATGCTACTAGTAGCAAGGATGCTACTAGTAGCTAAGGGCATCGTTAGTGGTAGCTTCTTGCTACTGGTAATGCACTTGTTACTAGTAGCGATGGCCTCCAACCTACTAGCGATGGCCTTTGTGTTTGCTTTTTTGCAATGCTTCTTTTGTGACAGCGAAGTCGCAGCAATGCTGTTCTATAGTGCTCTCGCTTTTCCCAAGGAAGAGGACGATGACGAAAAGCGAGCGCTGGCCGGAGCCCCAAGCAGTTCGGTCTGTGTTGAAAAGAAACGCTACTAGAGGCTCCTGGCCTTACTACTAGGAGCAAGAAGCTACTAGTAACAAAGAAATTACTTTAAGGAAAAGACTTTAAGGAACCTACTAGCGATGGCCTCTCACCTACTAGAGATGGCCTCCACCCTAGTAGCGATCCCAAGTGTGTGCTTGGGTTTGGATGGCTTGATTTTTCAAGATTGTCACTGTGACACCAACCATCTGATATCAGAAGCACCAGAACCTGGCAGAGCACCAATCCATATCTTAGGTTGATCTCACTGAGGATGGTGGGGTCCAGGCTGGGATTCTTTGGAAAAGGACTTCACTGGACATCACCCCACCTTAGTCTGAATTTCTGTAAGGAACGAAATGCGGAATAAGAATTCCGAATCCAAGACGTACCGTATGGCTTTTGACATCTGCCTGTTTTATCGAGCGTATGGCACGGCCAACAGGTGGAAGCTCCTTGTTACTACAAGCGATGCACTTGTTCCTAGTAGCGTCCTTGCTCCTAGTAGTAAGGCCCTTTGCTCCTAGTAGCTTCTTTGTTTCTACTAGTAAGGCACCTGTTACTACTACCGTAGCACTTGTTTCTATTAGCTTTTTGTTACTACTAGAAAGGCACTTGTCACTAGTAGCGATGCACTTGTTACTTGTAACTTCTTGCTACTAGTAGCGATGCCAGGAGCCCCTAGGGCCAGGAGCCCCTAGTAGCTTCTTGCTACTGGTAGTAAAAATATGTTTCCCTCAAGTTTTATGAACCAAATTACCAGTGCGAGCGTGAGTTATGCAGCGTCCTAGGTAGGAGTTTCCTATTGCTAGTAGCGAATATCAAATAGACAAGTAAGGAGGCAGGACCCCTACGTAGTAGCGTCCTCTGCTCCTAGTAGCGATGCCCTTTGCTCCTAGTAGCGTCCTTGCTCCTAGTAGTAAGGCCAGGAGCCCCTAGTAGCGTCTTCGCTCCTAGTAAGGAGGCAGGGCCTCGGGCTAAAAGAACCTAGAGGGAGCTCTTGAAGTGAGCTGAAACACGTTGATGCGATGCGTGGTGAGTCTCATTTGTTTTCAACATGCCTGTATATTCTTCAGAACACTCCTGGAAACACTAAAGCTTTCTAGTAACTAGAAGCTTCTAGCTACCAGCAGTAATGGCCTCCAACTTAATAGCGATGGCCTTCACCTAGTAGCTTCTGGTTACTATAGTATCTGGAAACTTCCTTTGATCACCCTGGCCCTTCTGGCCGTACTTTTGGGTTGAACGCCGTCGCAGGTGCATCGTTTGCCCATCAAGAAGGAACAGAAGGAACTTACCGAGGCATAAGATGCGGCATAAGACCCCGATTTGTGCTCTCTGTGGCTTGGCCGATGTGTGGCAGTTCGGAGAGAAGGCTCTAGAAATCAACACTGAAGCTTCAATAAACTAGTAGCGTCCTTGCTCCTAGTAGCGATGCCAGGAGCCCCTAGTAGCGGCCTTGCTCCTAGTAGCGATGCCAGGAGCCCCTAGTAGCGTCCTTGCT